CCCGAGACAAGGCTTGGCTCTATTACCCAGACTGGAGTGCAGTGGCATGATTTCAGCTCACTGCAACCTTTGCTACCCAGGCTCAAACCATTCTCCCACCTTAGCCTCCCAAGTAGCTGGGACTATAGGTGTGTACCTCCGCACTTGGCTGATTTTTTGTATTTGAGTTGGGGTTTCACCATGTCGCCCAGGCTGGTCTTGAATAATCTGCCAGCTTTGGCCTCCCAAAATGCTGGAATTATAGATGTGAGCCAGTACTGAGCCAGGCTGTAATTTATTAATTCTCCCTCTGATTTGCATTTTAAAAGTTATGATAGAAATGCATGGCTTTTTTTCTTTTTTTTATTTGAGACAGAGTCTCACTCTGTTGCCCAGGCTGGAGTGCAATGGTGCAGTCTTGGCTTACTGCAACTCTGCCTTCCGGGTTCAAACAATTCTCCTGCCTCAGCCTCCTGAGTAGCTGGGATTATAGGTGCCCACCACCATGCCTGGCTAATTTTTGTATTTTTAGTAGAGATGGGGTTTCACCATGTTGGTCAGGCTAGTCTTGAACTCCTGACCTTGTGATCTGCCTGCCTCGGCCTCTCAAAGTGCTGGGATTACAGGTGTGAGCCACCATGGCCAGCTACAAATGTATGTTTTTTACTAAGACATTCAAACCCACAGCTGTAACAATCTTTCATCCTAGTTCTATTGCTACCAACTACCTAAAATTATTGCTATGTGTAATTCTGTGTGTAAAAACAAGTTTTCACAAAAATGGGATCAAACTATAATAGTTTGGTAAGTTGCCTTCATCATTTAATGATGTATTATGGACATTCCATGTCAAAGTTTATGCCCTACATTTTTTTTCTTTTCTTTTTTGAGACAGGGTCTTGCTCTGTCTGCCAGGCTGGAGTGCAGTAGCACAATCTTAGCTCACTGCAGCCTTGACTTCCTAGGCTCAAGCAATCCTCTCACCCGGGCCTCCTAAGTAGCTGGTACTACAGGAGTAAGCCACCATGTCTGGCTAATTTTGTTTATTTTTCTATAATGAAGAGGTCTCACTGTGTTGCCCAGGCTGGTCTCAAGTGATCCTCTTGCCTTGGCCTCCCAAAGTGCTGGGATTACAGGCTTGAGCCACCGCACCCAGCAAGTGCTGGGATTATAGGTGGGAGAGCCATTGCACCCAGCCTACATTTTTTTTTTAACAGATATGTAATATTCTCCTTTATTTCTATTTATTTATTTTTCAGAAACAGGGTATCCCTCTGTCACCCAGGCTAGAGTGCAATGGTGTATCATACCTCATTTCAGCCTCCAACTCTTGGGCCCAAGTGATCCTCCCGCCTCAGCCTTCCAAGTAACTAGGACTATTTTGATTGTTTTTTGAGACAAGGTCTCATTATGTCATCCAAGCTGGTCTTGAAATCCTGGCCTCAACTGATCCTCCTGCCTTGGCTTTTCAAAGTACTGGGATTATAGGCATGATCCACTGTGCCCAGGCAATATTTTTTTTTCTGTAGAGACGAGGTCTCTCTGTGACCCAGGCTTATTTCATACTCTTTTTAACCAGTATCCCTACTGATGGATAAACCATTAGGCTGTTCCCAATTTTTTGAATGCTACAATTAATATCTACAGAGCTATATCTTCTTTGTTTTGCATTTCTACAAGTATTTCTGTAGGACAGTTGCTAGAAACAAACGCCAAGTCAGAGCTTCTGCTTCTTCACCATTCTGGGATTCCTCCTGAACTAATCACTATGTTTTGCATATTTTTGACTGCCCAGCACCTACCATGTCTGGCACAAAATACAGATGCAGTAAAGGTCTTTGTTTGCACTGAACAATTTCCATTTTGCTTACTTCTTTCTGGGCTTTGGGCATATTCAAATGTTGCCGACATAGCTGGTATCCTCTTGTACATGCAGTATATATTTTTTCTTTTTTTTGAGACGGAGTGTTGCTCTTGTTGCCCAGGCTGGAGTACAATGGTGCGATCTTGGCTCACGGCAACCTCCGCCTCCTGGGTTCAAGTGATTCTCCTGCCTCAGCCTCCCAAGTAGCTAGGATTACGGGAATGCGCCACCACGCCCAGCTAACTTTGTATTTTTAGTGGAGACAGGGTTTCTCCATGTTGGTCAGGCTGGTCTTGAACTCCCCACCTCAGGTGATCTGCCCGCCTCAGCCTCCCAAAATGCTGGGATTACTGGCATAAGCCACTGTGCCTGGTCCTGGGGACTCATTTCTTCATCCACATGTTAAGATGGGCACAATTGGCTCTCTCTCAGATCCTGTCCAATTTGAAGTCTCTATGATTCTTTGGGCTCTGATTCAATTTCCTTATTTAGGTGCTCCTATGACCACTGACTGAGATTTGCTAAGTGGCAGCCAGTCAAGATTAATTCTATGGTCTCTCAATAGGTCAGAACTAAGGACTTACAGGGATCAAAGCTGAGACCTCTGGCTTTCTGATTGGCACCATGTTCTAATTCGCTGAGCTAAATGGCCTTGAGAAGAACAACCAACATTATTTACATGACATAAAAAAGAACTGTAAGTTTATACTCCTATTCATATTTTGTTTTCCCTAAACAAACTCTAAGCTTTCTCTCATAGCAACTGTCAGAAATTCATGATTAAATAAAATTGATGAGAAAACAAAGTTTAAAAGTTGGCCAAACTTACACTTATTGGTAATCTGAGCAAGCCGTGCCTTCTCAGAGGAGAACGTTTCATCTAAGTCAAATAGCTCCAGAGGAGGTGGTGGTAACTCCCGGAAACTGGGAGGAAAAACCTAAAAGGAAATAAAGTCATCATTCAGAAATAAGTGGGATAATGTAAAGGACATAAAGTCTCTTAAGATTAAGAGCTTTAGCCGGGCGCGGTGGCTCAAGCCTGTAATCCCAGCACTTTGGGAGGCTGAGGCGGGTGGATCACGAGGTCAAGAGATCGAGACCATCCTGGTCAACATGGTGAAACCCCGTTTCTACTAAAAATACAAAAAAAAAATTAGCTGGGCTTGGTGGCGCGTGCCTGTAATCCCAGCTACTCAGGAGGCTGAGGCAGGAGAATTGCC